GCAAACGTGGCTGTTCAGCGGTCACCTCGTGGTCAACATCAGTAACAATAGAAAGTGACATATCGACAGTGGCAAAACGTGAATGGATACGTTTTTATAATAATAATAATATTGTTTTTTTGAATTGGTGAAAGTTTGCATGGATAAGTATAGAACAAAACAAATGTGAAGTTTATTACTTAAGCATCAACAACGACTTAACCATTTCGAATGTTAGGCCCCAAACAACGACCATTGTTTCAAATTAAAAAAATAATTATATACCGACTAAAACGAATGTATTAACTGTTAAAATGTACCGTATATTGGTCATGTATATTGCCGTTGGAAGATTTCGAATAATTAATTCTGAACGTTTATGTTTATTGTTATTAAACACGTGTAGATATATTTTCGTTTAATTGCTTTGTACGCTTTGTAATGTTATTCTAATTTTATAGACTTGGGGTAAAAATAAATAATCGTTTGCTTTCGGACGCTGTTGCGTTTAAATGAGATTTATTGTGACGACTGGCGTAGCAGCTCGCGGTGGTAGCATTGCTACCTGTGGTAACGCCCGGTAGTCTCGGAAAAAGGTACAGTGCCTTGAGGTATAGCGGTGATGAGATTATTTTTTATATTGTTATTATTGTTTTTGACGGGTTTTCACTTAACGTGTTAACTACCACCTAGCGAAATACACAAAGTCATGTTATAAGCCACAATAAAAATACACTCCAAATAACCAAGACCCTATAAGACCTAAAAAGATTTTTATTTTATTGTTTCATTTCTCTAGAGATGTGTTGAAATATTGTTTTATCGTAAATTTTTACAGCGTGTTTTTTCTGCATTGTACAAAGGCAATGTGTCCAGTGATGCGTTTATAATGTTACTGTGGTTCACTTTAAATAGAAATATTTTAGAGGTTGTTACAATTATCATCTCTCACGTATAGCTATTCTCAAAAAAAATTTTTTGGCATCGAGTAATGTAAAAATGTTTTATGTATTCTCATTCTAAATACAGTTATTTGTATTCCATTATTGGATATGTAAAAATTTTTTAGATCATGAGATAGTCTTTTTAGTTTTTTTACTTGTCAAACAAACGCTACTAAAATTGTAATATTTCATTTTTTATACTTATACCCAGTGCTCTTTTTTTGTCACTATATTCGATACAACAATCTTCGAAATAAATTTAGGCTCGACAAAGAGTTGTCATAAGTATAAGTGATTGTATGCCTACGAGTATGACTTTTTTACGCAGTATTATGGTCATGACTAAAATATTGAAGACCCAACAGCAGAGCCTCGCACTTGACCAGTGCATTCCAACGCGACCGGTAGGTACACACCTCGGCAGTGTACGAACCAACAACAGCCGCCAATAGGACGCCCCGGGGTAATTTTATACAAAGAAGATCATGAAAGTCTAAATACGGTTAGGTGAAGGCATAGATGGTTTCGTTACATAAACGTGTGTTTTATTTTATAAATAAATTTATAGCCAGAGGTATGGATTACAAATGGGTTATCTTGTAAATTTAGTCAAGTTTCTCATTGATGGCCACAATCACATGTTTGGAATATTTATCTTACGTGTATATGGTCTCAGTAATTCATCGAGGATAGACTTGCTATGGTCTTCATGCAGATATACCTTTAAAGCCATAATCAAAAAAGGTCGTAAAAGCATCCTAAAAAATAAAAAAGAGTAAAACGTTTTATCAGACAGGAGACCCGTTGTTCATTAAAATTGAATTTTATAACGCTTCGATCTTATGTAGACTGTAAATGTTGCATTATTTATAAAAACAAATTATATGGTTCGTTTGATGAAACGTAAAAGTATGTAATTCTTTATTCGGTGCACGTCCTGTTGATTCTTGTGTGCGGTTTTCATTAAGACCCGAATCTTAAAACACTAAAAATAAAGTCTGATAAAAACAATAGCATGTCTTTAATTTTTCAGTGACTCAGAATTAATAAGAAAAGAGCATAAAACATGTACAGACAAGTATTAATACATATAAAAATATTCATACACGCTGGAATATAGTTTACATTGATAAATTTGTGATTAAACAACAATTTCAATGGGTGTTTTATGAGTAAATATAAATTATAATAAACAGTTATTTAGTCTACATTAAATTAGAAAAAAATTGTGCCACCATCACTTTGACATTTCAATTTTTTATAGAGAGGGACAAACAGTCAGCGTTTTTAAAGTCCGGAGTAAATACAGTTAAAAAAACATTACTGTGAAATTAAACTGAGGGCAACTGTTTGGACCTACGTGATCTCATACCTCGATATGTCTAGTAACACGACCAGAGTCGTCTCGTCGTTTTATAATCGTAAATGTGGAAGTATGTAGTGCGTGTGCTTCTTCGTTCATTCGTGGGAGAGTATACGTTTGATGTTCTGGGGGTAGGTTAAGATATCCGCTTTGTTGTGTCAGTGGACCGCCACGCGGCTATTTCATCGTACGAATGCTACTAATGATGTGGTCATTATTATTATTATATAAGTACACACAAGTATGTGTAAGCACCAGAGTGTTGTGTGATTCAAAGAAGATTGAACAATCATCAAGCCATGCAACAATGGTTCTGTGACGAGGATTATTGCTGCGGCAGTAGGATGGCCGATACTAAATCCAACTTAACCGGGTAGTGGTTAGGTTAAGTTGGTGGTTAGAATCGAACAGCGATAAGAACACATCAGTGATGACCGTGATTACACATCTTGTGCATTTACTACCTTTAAGTGTTTTTATTGTGTGTGTAAAGATTATGGTAAGGGATTCTGTTCAAACCGAGAATCATTTTGAGATGACATTACATTGAGATTTGCGGTTTTTGTACTATATTTGTTGGTTAAGAGGCGTGGTAGCAAGTATTTCGAGTCCGTATAAAAATATAACGATTGAAAAAAATTCTTCACTTATACATCGTTGCTATAATATTTGAATTCCTCAGGACCGGGTCAGCGTCTTTGTCGTTGTACCTGTCCACCTGTTGAAGAGGTATACGGCGACCAGACATTCGATACCCGCACGAAGCCGCTTATGCGGCTGTCACCTTCTCTAGTGTTTTCTGAACACGAAGTGTGTGATATAACATTTTAATTTTTCAACTACTCACACCGAAAACTGATCTATGTAGACGACGATGTCCGTTTTGAAAAAAATACAACCATGACGCAATCGAGAAAGGGAAGAGTATTAGCATTCTTTGCGCATCTAAGCGATAAAAATATTATAGTATGTTATAGCTTGTGGTATTTCCTGTAGTCGGCGCTAATTATTATTCTTTAACGCCAAAGATGTATACGCGAAAACCATCGAACGCCTCTAAACGGACCGGAGTTCGCTAAAACATTGTAGTGAACCCATTACTTTAATTAAGCGGCCACAGATATTTGATAGATAATGAATGGATGTAATGCCGTCGTACATGTAATATCCTTTAATCATTTCGGCAGAATTAACGTGCACTTTAACAGTCTAGTATGCCGCTCTGTATTGCCCACCTTCGAAGACGAAAACAAAAAATCTGAAATCTTTAGTACCGATCAGTCGGATCGCATTACTCAAAGTTATTTTGAACTGAAATAATTACGTGAACTAATGCATGATACTTATCATACATTCATTATTCGTAAATTTTTATACTCATTAATAATACCTATACAGGGTGTTCAGTAAATAAGGAAACGAATTTCTATTGTACTCATTGTTTGTAACAATTTAACTGTTTCCTAACTTACTGAACATCCTGTATACTGTGTAAACACTGTAGTTGAACATATTAGAAATTTAGGGTAATTTTAAATTATATTTTAGAGGTAATTTATGCTTCACTTAAGGTTTTGTCTAATCTAAACTTGTAAGTACCCAAGTAATAATAAGTAATAATTTTCAAATTACTCTAAGTTTAGTGACAGATCACGTTTCAAGCCAGTAAACCGGTAGATACATATAAAAGTATTATATATATTTATACACAGAACAAAGTAACAATTAATCCGCTCTAAATTAACAATACAGAAACTTTAACAATTTAAGTCTACCCATGGATAATAATTTCTGGTTAACAGGTTTACCCTTTTTACAAACTTTAATGGTCTGTTATTAATATACAGACTTAAATGTATCATTTTGTTGTGTGGATATTTGTTTATTTTATAAACATATGTAATATGAGTAATAGATAAGATACGATTCCAGTCATTATTTTTACAATGTATAAGGGTTCCATTAGGCCAAAAGTTTAGTTAAAGCAATTAAAATGTGAAAAGTTTAAGCCTACAACAGGCAATGAAACCTAATAACGCAAATATTTCTTATATTTCCTAAGTTAAATCTTTTTGGTCGACCATGAAATTATTTATTTATTAGATTAACTAGACTTTTTGTCAGTTAAAAGTTTTCATCGTAGTAAAAACAATAATAATAAAAATAAACCAATTAAATTTATACAAGGTTCATGGTAATTTTAAATCATGTTTAAGAATTAAGTAATTTGTAGGATAATTAATTAAATTTGATAGCTTGTTATCAAAGGCCGATTGTTCCGATTCTTTTCACTGAAATATTTAGGGCAGAAATTATTAATTTTCTAGTAATTATTTTTACAAATAAATGTAATAGACATTTTTTATTAATTATATAAATGGTAATCATTATAAAGATTAAACAATAAGGCATATTAATTAAGTGCATAAAAAATATATAGTAGTTTATTCACTTAATATTGATGATCTTAAAATAAAGTTACCTTAGACATTTAAAAGAGTGTTATTGAAAACCAATAAAGTATTTTATTACAGTTAAAATAACACTTTATGATATTTTTGATTATATCGTTAATTTAATATTACTAATTTTACTTGAAACGAATACTATATTTTTTTGTGTGTAGCCACAAATTATACTATAGAACTGTTACTGTAGAACTAAATTATTCAGTTATGGACAAAATGTCTTTAATTAAATTGAAATTAACTTACATTCGTGTATCCTTTTAACTAGATTACTTCCTTGGTTAGCACATATCTGCTGTTGCATTTAAATGATTGTTTTCACTTAAATATATTTTTAACGTGCTATCTTATAAAAAAATGATACCGTTAATTAATTTTTATAAAATTATAAGTACACGGCACTACACAAAACGGACGAACACCGACACACATGTGTGTACGACACAACTCTTGGAACGCACATGCCCTCAGAGTGGCTGGGTAACATGCACATAGATACCGAGCTACTGGAGCGCATTCTATGGAAGGTGAATTATAGTAGGCTCGTCACTAAACAGTAATTATTAGTGATTTGTCGAACTTCTAATTTGAAAAAACCGAATAACCCAATATTTTACTCGATACATTAAAATGCTCAAAATTGGATAAGTTGATAGTAATCAATACATTATAATTCTGAATATTTGGAGCCCAATATAATTTGAATATACGGCCCATATAAATAATAATTTCTTAATAATTTTAAATAGACTTTATATAAGTAACATAACGAACGTTTCGAAAAAAAAATTGAATGAAAATAACGAACGTTTCGAAAAAAAAATTGAATGAAAATATTTCTAAACTGTAATCAAGAAGTATTTGTAATCGTATTTTGACGGTCAATCAAAAAAACGTATGAATATAGTATTTATTAATTTTGTTCGCGTTTGTCCTAATTACTTATAATTCAGTACCAATAATTTATTGAATATAATTAATTATAATCATTATTTTACATAAAATATGACAAAGATATTTTTTTGTTTGCCTCATTTTATTATACTCTAATTTCTCTACGACAATAGTTTTGTGACCAAACGACATTTGAACATCGTCACTATGCTAATACAATTTTTTAAGGAGTAAGTTTTTATAGTGAATTCTGGAATTGGTCGAATAATTATCATGTTAATCTGTTAATATATTTATAATAACCTATTAAAAAGGACCAATACGGGTCAAAGGAGAGGACTATAGTACTCTTATAAACTACACTAAGTTCATTCTGAGTAGAGTAATTAATTAAAGGACAAAAAAAATAATGCATCAGCATTTGTTTCTTCTTATTAATTTTTCCAACACAACGATTCAATCAATGTTAAATTATAACAAATGTAAATAACGTCTTTTGCTGTCGAAGTTAATTTTAAAATCGATAAAAAAACTGTCAATGACTTATGAATGATATTGTGTATTGGTTAGATTTTTTTTTAATTAAAATATTAACACTAAATATTTAGCTTAATTTTGTATTTGATCTGATATTCGAATTTAATTAAACATAAAATTTAAAGTTTATAAGAGAACGTATTGTACAAAAAAATAAACATGTATTTTTTCCAAAAATGATTATATAATTTAAAGTAATACTATTAATATATTGGTGAAGTATTAATAATCNAAATTAAAATATTAACACTAAATATTTAGCTTAATTTTGTATTTGATCTGATATTCGAAATTAATTAAACAAAAAATTTAAAGTTTATAAGAGAACGTATTGTACAAGAAAATAAACATGTATTTTTTCCAAAAATGATTATATAATTTAAAGTAATACTATCAATATATTGGTGAAGTATTAATAATCGTACATAATAGAAGAATTTGAATGATTCATTGTTAACGTCATAAAATCAGCTATCTTGTCATCTCTATATAATTTTAGAAGTAATTTTTATTATATCAATCCTTAATATTTTACTGAAGTTAAAATCTTTTCATGCAATTAATCATAAAATTGTCTTAAGTATCGATATATTTTGACTCAGCAAAACTGTCATTTATTATTCACTAGATATTTCCTAATTAAATATTATTTGTTATTGGGTAAAGTTGTAAAATATTCACTAACGAAAACCAAAAACAGTTTTACTTTTTTCAGTGTGCCCTTCATTTCCTACCGAAACATGTAAATTTTATCATTGTTGATGGTAAAAAGTTTAAACTAGTTATAACTTATAAATCAATACAAATCTGACTTCATCATTGAAAAATGTATGTAATTATTTAATTTTAACTGAATATTTAGACGTAAAATAGTAAAATAGTAAATTAAGAAATAATGTTATCTATTGTTGATGTATTGTTACTATTGGTCGCAATATCTCACCCATCAATTAATCATTACTAAGTGTTTAGCTTTGTTAAATTAAAATAAAGGATTATAAAAGTGTAATATATACAAATGTTAAATTAATTAATTGGTTAATTATTGTTTATTTAAATTTACCTTGAAATTAGCACTATATTAATTGGTTTATTCATATTAATAGATTAATGATTATTAATTTGAATTTATATGAATGAACAGCGTTGTGATAAAAATTCAGTTCCATACGCTTATAAATACAACCTTATGATCATTTAAGCGGCTATTATAAAAATGGAAATATTATTTTCATGTTATAAAATCGAGGGTACTAAGGTATGTTCATAGTGAAATATATGGTTGGTGAAGAATCAAAATGAATTACAGTAGGTAATAAAACATAATGCTGATTATAAAACCACATCAGAGGAGATATCTTTCATATATATACTGATATCATATCTAGGTCAATTTTAATGTTGATTATTTTTAGCTTCGATGCAAAGCTGAGAAGATATTGGTTTTACTATGATGTGTTTTTTTTTGTGTCTATTACCACTTTTTCTCAGCTCTCACCGAACGGATTTCTTTTAACGATACGTCAAAAGATCACAAATCGTATCTAGTCGAAGACATTACCCTCAAAAATTGAAAAAATTTCCCTCGTTCCCCGTAAATGGGGGAAATCTCCAAAAAAATTACAAATTTAAAAATCGCTAATTTTCGAAATTTTTTCAATTTTTTTTACTTAAAATTGCCATAACTTTTTTAAAAATAACCAAATCAATATAATTTTTTTTTATATAGATGCATGATATCATTATCTTTCATTTGGTATATTTTTTTTAAATACTGACCCTTAACATGCCCACTGGGGGGATTTAAAATGACAACTTTTTCACAAAAAATTAATTTTTTCAACTAACTTTTGAAAATGTTCCGGAAAGTCTGACACTTTTATATATATCTTAAATTAATGATAATGTAATATACTTTATTATGAAAAAAAAAAAAATTGAGCTCTGGACTTGTCTTCGTGGTGAAAATGGCTACCGAATGCTATTTTCGTGTGAAAATGTTTGATTTCATTTTTAACTTTATAATGCTATAACTTATTGAAAAGTGTATGGATCAATAAAATTTTTTTATGAGAAATAATATTTTTTAATAATCCCTTTTTCATTCAGGATATTAATAAGAAAATAGCAGATCATGTGGTTTTTGGATTAATACACCAATTTTTTAAAATTAAACACTATCTAAAGATTTGCATCGAAGCTTTTTTTTTAATAGTGATTTTAATCACTGTCAGATATCATTATACTTGATCCAACTATGCCACTTGACCACTGTGCCGCGACCCCTCTGTGATGGTCTTTTTATTCAGATTATTTTACACATTATACTAACTATTACTCTTATTTGCTAACGAATAAAATTATATAATAGTAAAAATGTTACTTGCATTATTTGTTATAATACTACATAAGCAATAATTAAAATTATTATATTTGTCTATTTGATATTTTGCATGATTACTTATATGACTATGGAAATGGTGTTGTAAATACATAACATCAATATTTTGTTTGTTACGCGAAAATAAAAATGATACACAAACCCTTCAAGTGTGTCTCATTTTTTTATTTTGTTGAAATATGGGTCACGTTGTGTTATCTAAAGATTAATTTTCTAAAGTGCTCAGGCAACCATTTAACTTTCTGAAAAATATTTACACTTACTATTTTCATTTCTTTGGTATTTGCCGCTTTTAAAATATTTATCATACTTCACTTTAGCTTGCAAATAATATTGAAAAGGAAATTGTGAAATTTCTAAAGTTAACCGTTCAACAATCTTTGGCGTGTGGTAATAGATCTCAACGGTATTTAATTTTTCAATAGATTGTATAGATACAATTTATTGGTTATTTTTACAGTGCTCTTTAGAATTAGCAGAGTTTTTTTAATATTACGTGATGTATAGTGTAATAGATAATATAGTAGAATTTTTTACTGTTCTCGTCATACTGAATTTAAATTTACTTTGTTGGAGTAAATATTTTTATAACACACGGGCTAATTCAGGAACGCGAGTGATTAATGAGATTATGCAGATGCTTGATCGTCTCGTAGAGATTTCTATTGTTTTCATTAATGATTGTACTGATTGCATCCTAGTCCTGCATCAACATAGTTTACGACTTTAGATGGTTCTCACGAAGTAATAACAATATAAAGCGACTAGATAAAGGTCATACGAAGGGTTGGAATATTTGTACACGTGATACTTGTCTTTGAAATACAATCATGATTACATGAAAACCATCAGGAGCTTATTAAAAAAAATACCTTGAAGTTTTTAAAAATCGATTATTTTTCAACACGTTTATATGAATTAACTACAATTTGAGTGTGTTATTTCTGTACGTACTTAATAAATGCAGAGGTTGTATTTTTAATGTTATATTATTTATACAGTTATAGCGGTCCTCAAAATCATACTCCAACAAGCTCCGAATAGGCTAATACGGTTGTTGGTATACCACAAGGTCGGGCCGTACTTATGAATACAAAAAACAAACAATAAAATACTAAATGATAGTATGAAATGTAATGGTCGTAACTCCTACTGTGATCCCATTTAACCGTATGATTTCGGTACTTTTTATTCTCATTGAAGTCTTCAACTGTGTTTCGTTACAATGTATAGATCCAACATTCGCCTACTTACAATTTTGATAACTACAATAAAGTCATTGTAACTGATGCGTCCAGTGTCGGACAGGTCTATAGAACGGATGTCTACATCCTCCATTCTTTCGGGAATGTATACTCGCACCTCTTCGTCCAAAGGAAGAACATCCATACCGCCGACCTTGAGCATCCGGTTGTGTGTATTACAATCTATAAAGTGATGCGTCTAATCGATTACTTATCATTACGTGTGACAATAGCCACAACGTGTTCGTACAACAAAATGTGAATATATAAATGTGTAACATACATGCATTTGTGTAAATAAAATGTAGAAATATTTTGTATCTTATCACATCTTCGATTTAATTCTGGAATCAATTATTTGCACTTGTGAAATTATTTTGTAATAACTTCTTTTCGC